AAAACATAATTATTTTGGATACAATCTCAATAATAGATGGTCTATGTTTGAGCCGATATGTTTCGTGAACTGATACTTGTGAACTGTTTTCTTTGTCGAACCGGTACATCGGTACCATCGCCGCCATTGAGACGGCATCATAAACGTCATCGGTGGATTGTGATCATCAGCCGCTCGAGATCGGGCTTGGTGCTCTATTCCTGTGTTTGCAGCGAGTAAGACCACCAGCACCCGGCGTGGTGTGTGCGAGGCCGCCCAGGTCATCTAGATCTCAACACCACTGATACTGTTTTGGGTACCATTCCCGTCTAGTCGTCAAGTATTTTAAGTTTAGCTTGTAAGTGCGATTGTCTATTGTTAAGTGTATTCCGAATCTATGCGAACTTAGTGATCATTGCACAAGTCTTACTTGATCACGCAGACTCCCTCCTGTTAATTACACTGCATCATCATTATTCCTTTTGAATTATATTTGGTCTCATCCGTAATTTATTGCCGTCCCGTGTTACACGCCGTCGTCGCTCATTGGTGCCGTCGCCTCAAACTCAAGCATATTTAATTGTCTATACCAAAAATTTGACGGCGTTACATTGAATTGCCAACATCGAACTTCTACGGCGTGCAATATTGATTGCCGACCCCAAAACAATTCTAGACGAACTTATTATTATTCTTTATTTATTCTTATTTCGTTAATACAACTGGTCTCTCGATCAGAGCCAAACATTTCAGCGCCCCGGGGTAAAATTTTTTCTACGGGCCACTGAATACAGGTAGCATATTAAGTGCAGATAAGAGCGCCTCCTAACTTTTAAAAAACTACGGCACCCGGGGCCAATTGCCCCCTTTGACCCTCCTTTAACACGACCCTGCCCTCGATAAAAATTTCTCTCTCCATAAGTTTATGTTCGTACATATTTGAATAATAAACTTTAAATATATTTTTAAAACATAAATTTTTGTTTGAGTTAGCAAAAAGATACCCTTTAGTGACGCCTATGCTTCGCTGTGTGTTTGGTTATATTGATCTTTGTGTTCCAAAATAGGTATAACCAGTGGCGTAGTGAACTATTAAGAATATAGAAGTGAACAATTTATTAATGATCCACCATATCCCACCAATCGATCCAGTAGTAGCGTTCACTCTACACCTTGAATTTTAAGATTCTTACAAATTTGACTGCTGTCTTTCAATATACTTCACCATTTACCAATAAGTGACCATGTCACATTCCACCAACAATTCCCTCTAAATTTCAGAAGCAGTGGCGTAATTAAGAATTTGTCTCAGGAGGAGGCAATAAACATTTTTTACATACAAAATACTTAGATTTTTAAGTACTGTGGTAAGCAGTGGCGCCGACTTGTATTTTATTTGGTGGGGTAAAGTATAAAAATGTATTAATACTACCACCCAAAAGTTAGAGAAAAATTATGACAGGTTATATGATTGAATGATTATATTATAAATTTAACCATCGTAGTCGCTCGCTTCGCTCGCAGTTTATCATTCCAATTTCATCTATTAGGTAGGTTCTATTCAACCGTGGCGTATACAAGGGGAGGGTAAGAGTGTTATAACCAACAGCCCACACTATTAAGTATATTTTAGAATACGATTGTATTTATTGTTAAATGTGCCGCTTAAAACAGCATATAATAATAATAATAATAATAAAAACTATGATCGAGTAAAATGCCTCAAATTTTATCATAAATTAATAATCATACAGACTGAAAATGATAATCATGAATTAGGTAATAATTATTACCTATTTACCTTACTAATTGCTTACATTTGTTTTAGAAAAAAACAATTAATATCAATTTGAAGCGTGTATAAATATAGGTTTAATTATTTAAGTATTAAATACGTTATGAAAATTAAAGAAATGTAAAACAACAGTTTTTGTTTCATTTTTTAAACAATTTTAATTTAAAAAAAAGATGTTTCTAACATTTTTCACGGGGCTATTGGTAATTTAAGTTACTATCTTAAAATGTTTAAAAGATGTATTTGTATGCTGTATATGGTAATTATTTTTAAATATTGAGAACCGAGAAGGGTTTAGCTTCATCATGTGTGCAAAATGGATAATAATGTTAATGTACGTCTTTATACATGATATGGTATAAAGACATGCATTGATAGGCGAATTGCTCTATCGCATCGTAGTATCCTAACATCTACAGATCGATTGTCATCTAATTTGTACATTCTTAAGATTTACTAACTAGAGTGTAAATTCGTAAATTTATTCACCTAACTCACCCCACACCCAGCCAAACACCAGACATCCACCAACATAGTTAAATGAAGGGACGAACTGCCCCATAAAAGTACGTGATCAGCGCCACTGATCATAATATGTTTTAAACTTTAAAGCAGTTTGAAAAAATAAATGGCATAATTCTAGTTTAGCAACTTTTCGATTTTTTTTAATTTTTTTTTCCAAAATGTGTGTTCTAGGGTGTTTTATAAGTATGCTAAAAAAGTAGCCTGGACAAACTTCATTTTGAAGTTATTGATGAAATACTTCAAAAACTTCATTTTTTTTCATAACGCGCATTTTTCTTTTAAAAATACTTAGAATTGAATATTTGATTTTAATTTTCACATATTTACACTTGTATTGTCCCTGCTACCTACTTGAGATGGTTTTGCATAGCAAGTCGAGTGATATTTTCGATTTGCGGAGCGAAACAACGGCGCCGAGTGCCGAAACACTCGTATAATAGTTTTATTGGTCATTGCCGATACTACACGCATCGTTTGCAAAAAAATTTTATTTCATTTTCACACTATTAGACAATTTTTAGTGAATTATTCTTCATAAATACTTTGTATGTAGGTGGACCGGGGTCAATTGTTGAAACTGACGAATCAAAATTCGGAAGGGGAAATATCATAAAGGACATCACTTCAAGTTTTTGAAGTTTTTCATCAATAACATCAAAACGAAATTTGTCTGAGGTTCTTTTTTTTACATACTTATAAAACACCTTTAAACACACATTTTGGAAAAAAAAAAAATTAAAAAAATCGATAGGTTGCTAAACTAGAATCGTTCCAAATAAATATTGAAATCAAGTGAAATTGACCAAATTAAAGCATATTAAGTTTTTGATTTTGTAATAATAAAAATTATATCAACCCACGAATCGCCAAAATAAACGGTTTTAAATATATAATAAAAAAATTGAAAAATATGATTTTTAAAAACCGGTTTTAACCGGTAACCGATTCCCAAAAAACCTTATCATCGGCTTTTAAACGATTAAAGCCGTGTTCACATTACACCATGCCGTGTAGTGTCTTCTAAAATAATTATCTCTGATTGGCTTAACCATATTATTACACCAAGGTATACCTTTCTCTCATTCATTTAGTTTTAGTACATGTTAAATTAAGTTACTAAAGTATTAAAGGATTAAAAACTTATACAACATCAATAGCTAAACAATAAATTATATTTTTTTAATTATAGGCTCACATAATAATAATATATATATTGTGTATCTAATTGCCAATACATAATTAATAATATTAATTATAAAGATAGTATAATAATATTAAAATTTAAAAATTATATAATGATATTAATTTTATTTTGGAATGTATAATATAATTAACATAGCAGTAAAAATGAATTTTAACTTTAACAAAACCAAAGCCATGTTATAATAACTAAGTGAAGTTACATAAATATACAAAAACATCATAAATTATATCACATGCAAATAAAAAATTCATTGAAGGAGCTGCAAATACATAATATGCTAACAAGATTTTTTGTTAAAATAACATCACAATAAATCCATAATAATAAAAAAAATATACTTATAAAAATGGGTTGATTTTCTTGTTGGAAGGTAACATAAAGTGAGTAACGTATAGTGAATAATAATTATCTTGTAATCAACTTTTATTGAATACATAATATGATAACAATTATTTTCATTAGAAATAACATTACAATCATAAATTTATGTAAGAATATCTCAATAAATCTTATTTCAAATGGACAAGATAAAGTTTTATTAAACTACTTAAATAATCATAGAATATTTATTGATCCAATTTTAACATAAAAAATTATACATAAATCAGAGTTGTAATGTTACATTATACTACGAAAAAAATTGTTTGCATCGATAATTCCTAATTTATTTTGTCAGATTTCATATTATACAGACTAACATTATTATTCCTACAACATTTATTCAAAATCATATCCAAATGTTATATTTCAATTTATTTATAATACACAAATAAATAATTAGGTAATTTAAGTAAAATAACATATTGATGAAAAAATTGGATACGATTTTGATTGAATTTAACAGCATATTTAATACAGTGTATTAATACATTGTAACTATTTAAATTTGGTACTAAATTATTATTGTAATTATATTCATTAATAATTATAATTTACCAAATATTTTTAATGACATAGCATAAAATATTAAACATAAAATATAAATATATTACAGTAATATAATTTTGTATACAATACACAATGTCTTACTTTTATTATCTAATAAGTATTTCTGATAGAGAGTTATATTAAATAGTCATACAACTATGTAAATTTAATTGATTAACAATAAAATTTTATAAGTATAATAATATTGTCTATTTAATATTATTTGTTAATATACAAAATAATACTATTAATATTAATATATGTATAACATAGTTTTTATTTATAAATTAATAAATATTTATGAGGTAAATGAATAGGATATATTCAAATCAGATTTTATATTATATTGCACTTAGTATTAAGTTAAAAAACTTAACAAGGTAATAAACTAAAATTGTTACTTTATTCCTAAAGGAACAATCTCTTTTTCATAAAACACACATTTTTTCTCTATTCTAGAGTTTGCCTATTTTTAAGTAATAATCTACTTATAATACTTTATGTAAAATTATAAATAAAATAGGCAAAAATTACTTTGGGTGTTATTTTAAATTTATACTTTCTCAATATCAGTATATATATTTTAAATCAAATAACAGTTATACCTGAAATTATATTGATATTGCCAATTAAAATTTTGAATTTATGGCACAAAGACTGCCAACAATGATGACGATTATGTTGTGCACTCTTTACAATATGTTGTACATTTTAAATTCTGTACATTAAACTGTATCATTCCCAGTTAATTTCCTAAAACAAATAATTAAAAGCAATATATTTCTTGGCAAAATTATTTTTATAAAATATTTAAAAAAAATATAGAGTATAAGAAGTAGATTACCTTATAAACCAAAAGGATCTAAGACAGGTTGTGGCTGAGAAGTCTGAATATTGGAAGTAGCAGTCATTCCCAAATTACCACCACCTACTGCACTACCACCAATACAGCTGGGTTGTACACCCTTAAGATATAACACAAACTTAAGTAAGAAATAATTACAAACAATTGTTTAAATTAAAACTCAAATTATATTGTTTTCTAAAATAATAAACAAATATGATTAACATAATAAGATATAAAAAAATATTAATGAGAATTTACAACATTGAGCTTAGTGTTAGTTATGGGTTCTAGATTAATAAAAACAATTTGTAATCATATAACATAATAATTTATGATTAACTAATTAATTTATGTTGAATAAGGTTATTAAATCCGAATAAAATATAGTGAATAAGTAAATAAATGTAAGTATTATTAAATTAGACGTTGAATTAATTAATTTCCAATAAAAAATTTATTGGTATGATGTACTATATATAGGTGCAAAAAATAATTCAACAGCTTAAGAAAAACAAGAAGAACATTGTCCTAGTAAATTTGCTTCATTTATGAGTTAGTATTAATTATTTATACTTTGAGAGAGTGCAAATGGTACTGATTCATTCTTTGCTGTTAGATTAGTTTATTATAATTATAAATGTTTAAATACTGTACTTATGAAATGAATCATTAGTTTTTAAAATAATTAATATAATATTATCTTTGTATGTTTTGTTAAATTAATTCACAAATGTAATACTATAAGATAAAAATGTATAAATTATTATTTTAATCATAGTTCTAGGCGCTATGTTTAATTTTTTTTTTTTTTTGATGTTGAGTATCCCAGTTTCTTCTTGCACTACTGATAGATCATTTTCAGCAATGTGGCATTAAAATACATTTTTTAGGTTAACAATGTTTCAAAATAGTTCAAATGATATAACTATACTGTATATTCATAGAAATGAGGATGCAGATATTAAAAAAAAAAAAAACAAATTTATTCATTAGTAAGTCTATAATTTGTCAAACTACATTTTCCTTATAAATTTATGAATTATTATTATTATTATTATCATTATTGTGTATTATAATGTATTTTTTTCAATCTTAGTATATTTTGTTATATTTATATAATTTATAACATTAGTTCATAAAATTTATAAAAATGTTCAATATTAATGAGTTACCTACATCTAAAACAAATTCTGATTTTTTGATAGTAGACCATCCCAGGTATATAATTATATATTATATATTATTATGTATAAATAGCTAAAGCCTCCACAAATTAATTTTTATAGACATTGGGAGAGGGTATAATTATGAGCACCCTATGATTTTTTTAAATCTTGACGCCTATGACCCTAGTATTAAGTAGAAAAACAGAAAACTGTAAAATAATGGTTGTATAATAACTTCAACACATTAGCTTTTATAAATGAAACATAGAATATAATGTAATCACAAAAGAATGTCACTAATAAAAATAAATACATGTCATGCAAAGATATTAGATAATTAATTCATGTAGTATAAAATTATAAAGTAAACAATGTACAACAACATATTCAAAACTAATCAAATCAAAAGTAAAAATTTACACAATATAAGTAAATTAAAAAAAATTGTTTGTGATATTTAATAAGTATGTAGACAAATGAAAAAAAAAAAAAAAAAATATTAAAATAAAAGCTAAGTAACTATTGGTATATTTAGTAAAGCAAGCAAAATACTATTAAAATAAATATTTAAATAGAACAGTTATTATTATAAAATAACTAAAGATACATAAAAATTATATAATTTTTTCAGTTTTATTTAAAAATGATTAAAAAAAAAAAAAAGATAAGAGTCAAAAAATATGATTAACCTTTAATTAAAGATTTGAACAATTAAGAGAAGGTAACTTAAAAAATACTGAGCACAACCACAACCAAAATTCCATTTTTTAAATGTACAGTGAAAGATGCTTTGTTTATATTAATACAACACCAGTTAGTTTCAAAGCAGCTTAACAAGTAAAAGTGACTTACCATAGGACTATAGGTTGATACAAATGGTGAAGGATTGGACATCATTCCTTGCCCCTGTAATCCAATATACAGCAAGCAAAAAAAGTAATAATAATGTACACAAATAATAAAGACATGCAAATTAAAAAGTGTAAATACAAATTATAATGTAATAAAAAAAAAAAAAAAAAAATTAGAAATAAAGTTCTAAGGTACAAGCATAACTATAATATACTAATATAATACAACAAATAAGAATAAATTGTTTTACTAATAGTGTATTTTGCTTTATATATTATTAAAAACTTGCATTTGAAAAAAAAATAAAAATCTATAGTTCATAATTCATTACTTACCATTGGTCTATAATTTGCACCTGTTGTAGCAGCCATAGGTTGAGGGCTCCAACCCATTCCTGGTTGACCATTTCCAGGTTTCGGAGCATTTTTAGGTGAATTCCATTGGACTCTTAAGAAATAAGTTGTCAAAGCAATTTTAATGTATACATAAATATGAAAAAATTACTTACGGTGGTGGTTGTGTAGCTTTATTGATAGAAAGATTTTCTGCTAATGATGCTAAACTGCTATCTAAATCACCAGTCAATACTTTTTTATTGCCTGAATCGGATGTACCTAAAATTATAACATAAATAAAATATTCAATCAATCATATTTTTAAAAATATAATCATTGAAGCAAATTAATTATAATAGTGCCAGCTGAATACTGAAAAATTATATTAATAGCTAAAAATAATAATAATAATAATAATAATTACAATAATGCCCATGCCATTCATATTATAATATAGCATTAAATATAAACCACTGAAGAGTAAACTCAAGTACGGATCATAGAACATATAAACCTTAAAATCTGTGCATATTCTTTCAAAATAGTTTTTGGTTAAAATTGTATAAAAGCATAATTAATATTATTTTTTTTCATGAAAATTAAAAAATGTGCTACAGACCAGTAATTGAGTGCCTGCTTCTAAATTAAACTACCCCGAAATCAAGAAAAACATAATTCACACAACACAGAAGGCTGAAATTTATATGCCTGAATACAATATCATGTTATATTGTATACCTGAAGCTATTGCGACCAAATCAGTTTTGACAGGAAATCCATTTAAAGGTTGAGAGGTGCTTTGAGGAAGAAAAATGTCTGCTGCCAAATCCAAAACAGGATTAAAATCAGAAGTAGATGATGTAGGGATAGTAGTAATAGGTGGTGGAGGCCTTGGCGGAGGTATTGATGTCCCACTAGATTTTCTGGACTGTGGTTTTTCAACAGATGATGAACTTGATTCAAAAATATTTGATTCAGAATAAACATTTGAGGATATAAAAGGTGTTCCAGAATACGCAGCTTGAAAGACACATATACACTCAGGGAATTTTGTAAAGAATATAGTTTTCTAATCATCATTATTGTACTTTGAATTTTTCATTTACCTGAAACACTAGGAGCTGGGCATGTTTGATTAGATTCAGGTTGTCCAAAAACAGATGTAAATGATTTATCATCAACAAATGCATTGCTAGTATTAGTATTAAATCCATTGCTCATCCAGTTATTAGCATGATGTGTAGACATATTATCAATTGGAGCATCTGGTTGTGATCCCGTCATAGAAGCGGAAAACATATCGGTAAATGGATTACTTAATTGAAGCAAATCATCTGAAGCTTTAGCAGATATCTAAAAAAAAAAAAAGTAAATATATATTTAAATGTATAATACTGTAATATTTTGTTCAAAATAATTAGCAGTATCTAAAGTAAAATAATACCTGTGTGGTTGGAGCTGGAGAAGAAAACAAATCTACAATAGGCTCAGATGATACTAAAAATGGATTGTTAACTGAAGTTGTACCATTAATAGGACTGTTTACTTTGGCCTAAAAAATAATTTTGATAAGAAAGAGATGGTTGTTATATGCAAAAAACATAAAAAAATAATATTGTATATTACTTTATACTGATTTAAAACAGCTTCTTCTTCAGCCAATACTGCTTGTTTTAATGATTCTTCAACACCGTCTGATTGTTGGGCAATGGTTCCAAAAGAGCTGCTAGTGGAAGAAAGGGCAGATACACCAGTCTTTACATCTGTCCGATGATTGCTATATGTTATGTCAAGGAAAGGACAGGAAATGGAATATAAAACAAAATAAAATACAAAATTCAAATAAAAAAAGACAAACATAAAATAAAATCAACAGCAAACTCTACTTCTACTTGGTTTAAAAATGTAAACTAACTAAGGAAATAATTAAATTAGTAGGTAACACACAAGGTGTAGGCTATAAATAATACAGGTGAACAAATAATATTTTTACTGTTCCCAACATTTTTAACTCATTTTTAACTTTTTAACATTTTCAACTTATTAATATAGTTCATTTATACTATACAAGTTATAGACAACACTCAATAATTGAAATAACTTTCAAGAAGTATGATCATTTACGAAATATTTACAATAATAACAATATTTTAAAGAAAGTTATGAATGAAATTTTAAAATGTTTTAAAACAATATGTTTAAAATGTATCATATAATATTTAAGATAATTGTCAAGAGCAATACATTTATTGCTTATTTATATTATATTAAGTTTATAAATTATAATTTTCAAATAAATAGAGAATCATACCATTAAGGTAAAGTTAATTTATAAAATGAGATTATTAAACTTTATAGTAAAACTAATGTTTGTATATTTAAATTATCAGTGTTAGAGGGGCAATATAATATATTACTTCCCATATGTATACATTAATTTACTGTTTTAAGAATTTTAGAGGACAAGTTAGTGAATAAAAAAAAAATTATTACAGATGGTCCAAATTTTAACATGAGACTTGATGCCTTAAAAATCACAAGAAACAAAAAAAAATGTATACAATTCATACATAAATATATACAATTCTCTAAGACTTTATAAGAAAGAATTTCAATTAGATCTTTATAATTTTGAGACTCTATAATTCTTTATAATTAGTTTAAGAATAATAATATTTATTTAACTTGTCAAATCAATAAATAAATTAAAATAAAGTAATTAATAATATAAAGATAAATTTGTGTTAGAATATAGGATAATGAATAAAAAAAAAAATTCTTTAAAACAAATAGATAGTCATAAATAATAACTAATAAGTAGGGCTCGGAAGTTAATGACCTTAAAAACATTAAATAATGACCTAAATAATTACAAATATTTGTTTAAAATAAATAAAAATACATTTTTTTTTAAATATTTTATTCTATTTTACTACAACATTCTATATAAATCTATCAAAACTTACAAATTACTCAAAATATGTCATAAAAATGACAACAAATTTTCTTAAAATATGAAATAAAAAAATGACAAACATTTTTTTATAAATTTATCAAAGCTTGCAAATTACTCAAAAATCAAAATTGTACACTTACAGCATATATGATGTTATCAAAAGTTAATGAACGACAATTATTTGTTTATATATATTTATACTTGGAAAAACTTCTCTCCAAGCCCACTAAAACGATTGAAAGATGCAGATGAGCACTAACCGACTAGCTCTAATAATGTAATAAATAATAATGTTTAATAAATATTTATATTTGGAAAAATTTCTCTACACGTCCACTGATGTGATTGGAAGACGCAAACGAGCACTAACCGATGTTTTAGTTTTCACCATTTTGAAAATATTACGAAAAAATAATAAAATTTAGATATAATAGGTATTATTCTCTATAACAAGACAATGAAGCGACGAGATAATATTGGATAATAATTGAATATTAGGAAAAAATAATAAAATTTAGATATAATTGGTATTATTCTCTATAACAAGACAATGAAGCGACGAGATAATATTGGATAATAATTGAATATTAGGAAAAAATAATAAAATTTAGGTATAATACTATTCACTATAACATGACAACGACAAATATAATCAACGAGATAAAATCGAACAAGTTTTAAGTTATTTACATAATAGTCAATAAGAAACAATAAAAAATTAACTAGTGTGAAATCAGTAAAAATGTCAAAAAATGACTTAAAAAGTAACGAACACCAAAAAATGCAAAATAAAAATTAGTTATTTGGATTCACATGCTAATGAAACACATTTGCGGCCAGGATAGCATCTTCTAAAAAGTTTAAAAAAAAAATGCAAAATGCATCAACTTCCGAGCCCTACTAATAAGTAATTAGATTTAAAATATCATGTATGGTAAAAAAAAAAATAAAAAAATATCAACTATATACAATATATATGCATTGTATTTAAATATCAATGCGTGCATCAATAATAATAACTATTTAATGTTTTAGTTACTAGGATGAAAACATTTTCTATTCAATATAGTCTAAATTATTGTCACAAAAACCTGTACACTGAACTAAATTAAAGGCAGTACTTTATGTTTTTAAGTATATTAACATTTTTTAGAAATATTAGAATAAACTCCCAAAAAATAAATATATTTAATGTAATAATATAAGTAGTAAAATAGCATAAGAAAGTATTATTTTCATAACTAGCTGTCTCTTAAATGTGATATCTTATCACTCTTATGAAACTAAATTTACCGTCTACGAGTAATTATACCACTTAAATACATTAAAATTATAAATAGTTTTTGGAAGTTTATCGGTTTCATTCTATGTTTATTTAGTTTTAGTTTTATTCTATATTTTGAAAAAACAATAAATACTAGATTATATACTCAACTAGATACCTACTCATAAATTAGGTTGAAAAACTACCTATTTAAAATACATTTAAATACTATTTTCTAAATAATGTTTAATTGTTTTAGTTATAGTTCATAGACAAAATATATTATTAGGTAAAATTAAACAATAAAAAACACGCACATAAAATAATATAAAGAATATTTAGGAATTATATATACTAATAAGAAAAAGGATCTGTTATACTATGATTTAAACTATTAGGAAGTAGAAGTGTATACATTTAAGATAATAAAATAAAATCTTCGCTGAAGATTTCTGTATTTTATATACTATATTTTGCTTACACATGTATTAGAAAAAATAATATAAAAACTTATATATATTTTTTTAAAACCATAAAGTATATAAATTTTATTTATAAAATAATAATCTATATAAATATATTTATTCATATAGTATATAACAAATTTTCTGATTTACAAATTTAATTATTTTAAAAATTAATATTTTTTTCATAATTAAAACACAGAACTCAAAACAATTATTACTTTTAATACTTTATGGTGGTATAAATTGTTTTATGATTTACTAAGATAAATAATTTTGTTAGAAGGTAAGGTAGTAGAAATCCCACAACCTCAGTAATAAAATTATGTATCATAAGTAAAATAAATAAACACAAGTACAAAAATTGATGTAGAATAATATGCCAACAAATTACTTTAAAATATATTTATAATTTGTTTTTACAAAAATACTTTTTATATTGCAAAACAAAAAACCTCAATTAATAAAATTAAATTGTTCTAAACTCTAATTGTTTTCCTTTCAATCACATTATTGTGGATGAACAACATGGATTTCAACGAGATTGACATACCACAACCTGCAACCTTGTGTTCACTTCACATATACACACGGCTCCTTTCGAGAATACAAGCAAGTTTATGTAATATACACAGATTTTTCCAAAGCATTTAATTATGTGCACCACAATTTCTATATTAAGACTTTAAAGAGAGCCTAGGCATTGGCGATCCATTACTCTCTTGGCTGAACTCATATCTATCAAATGTCATTTCTGTTTCTGTCCTTGGTTCGTTCTTAACAGTCTTTACTCATTCTTCCAGTATGTCAGCTATTCTTTTCTCTCTCCTCTTAGCAGTATTTGTTCATTCTGCTCCTTCTGTTCTTTGTCATACCAAACTTCTCATATTTGCTGATAATATAAAAATGTATTTACAGATAAACTATATTTTTGATTATTCTCTTCTCTAACAACGCCTTACTAATTTAGTGTAGTGGGTTGTGTTCCTTAGTCTCTATTTGAACATTTAAAAATGTTCAGTATATGTTATCATTTCCACTTAGTTAGGGTGAACAAAACTATCTACAATCAAGCACATAGAGGAAATTTGTTGAGGATCACTTAAGACTCTTGGTTTTGTCCTTTATAACTCTGCTGAGTTCCAATTAATATCCTTCTATACTATGATCTGGTTCTTCTTGTGCTCGAATATGGATGTAATTTTTAAGGCACCTCTACCACTTCTTCCAGTGCTTTAGTCAAACATGTTCAAAGAAAATTCCTTCTAATTCCAGCTTTCAGATTTAATATTTCACACTTTCTTCATTATTACACACCAATTCTACAAGCCCTCAATCTTTCTTCGCTTGTTGACTAGCTGCTCATAGCTAATTTTTCCTCTTTTTAATCTTCTTTCCGCAAAATAATCGATTATTCTTCTCTCTTATACTAAATCAATTTCAGAGTTCATTCCTGCACCACTTAATGTTTTATCTTCTTCTGAATCCCTTGCTTTTCCTTTAGTTACCTATATAAAATCACCATTGTCTGTCTCATGTAAACAGCAAATAACCTCACTTTTTCTTAAATAGTAATTATCCTTATTCTAATTTAATTTTTAATATAATTGTGAATTATAATGAAAATATATACTACTTCTTTATTAACAATACACATTGTATATTATGTTAAAGACACCTGCCCATATATTTATTTAAAAAACATAATATTAAACATTAATAAAATTATCTTGTATAAAAAACAATAGGTAACCTTATTATTCTATATCATTAATTACTTGTAAACATTTAAAATTTATTGTAATAAATATATATTCACATACCTTGTTGCTTGAGTAGGAGTGTTTGCTGCAGATTTTTTGCCTTCAATAGAAGCTAAATGCTGCTCTAATGCATCTAATAAACTACTTGGTGCCTAAAAGTATAAAAAGAATATTATTATATTTTAATTATTATTTAATTATTGAATATACTTTTGTAAGATCTGGTATTTCACCCTTGTCAATCCCAACATTTTCTGCTACTTTAAGAAACTCTCCTACACGATCCATTCTAATAAGGAACTTTTTATATAAATCTAAAGCATCCCGACATTGTTTTTTATTCATATCAAAATATTTTTCTGTGAAACAAGAATATATTGATATAATATTAGTATAAAAATATAAAATAATATTAGTACATCAATTTTACTATTTTCAGCAGTGATGAGCACAAACTATATTTTTGGTTCTGTAATAAAGTATTACATTAATCATAATAATGAAATAAAAAAAGCCATCTAAAACACAAAGGTATTTTTTTTAATACATAGCTAAAAGCTATACAGGTTGGGTAATTAGTCATTATTAAGATAGATATTATTTAAAGATTATACTAAATAACAAAAATATGCTAAAAATTTCAATATTAAGGTTTGTAGATTTTACAATATAATATTTAATGTAATAAACCTTTATTAAAATACTTCCATTGAGGAATGGTATACAAAAATTGCTCTGCAATATTCAAAATTTTTAGTGTAAACATATATTTTTTAAGTATTAATTTAGTCAACTCATACTATTAAGAGTGTCAGACCAACAACCAATTTTATTTCTTTTCCATAGTGCCATATTTAACTGCATGCTTTTGTTCCAAAGGATGGTTTTTTCAAAGAATCTGGCAAGAAATTTTATATTGATTTCTAGATTTTAAATTTAAATTAAAAATACATAAATTCAAATAGTTAAATGCCCAACACTGTTACTTCTATTCCCTAATTATAAATACCTAAAAGGTTAATGATACTATCATTATATCCAGCAAACAAACGAATCAGATCACGAAATAACAACATAAATGCCATGTTAATAACACCATTAGTGAGATCAGCAGCAGTACAGTCAAATTCAAGTAATGCATCAAGTTGAGATTGTAAGACTGGTAGTGTTTTTAATAACTTATCGGAATTCATAGTACGTAAGACTCCATCTTCTTTACTAAAAACAAGTATAAAAAATAAAGAAATTAAACTATTGATACGATATATCATCAAAAAAATAATTAAATTTTAAAATATATTATACAAAACAAATATACAATATGGCCTTGATGTATATACACATATTTTTATAGAATATAAATATATAATATATGTATTTGTTTTAAATTTAAATGTTTGAACATTTTTCACAAGCATAATTTAACAGTATAATAAAAAGTGTTGTTTTCATTTCTAAAAATTATATATAATAAATGTGACCAAGGCCGTAAATGGGGTCTGGACCCCCCCAAAATTTTCAAAAGTAGAAACATTTTAGCGGTGAATATAGTTTATTAACTATAAATAGTATTAAATGATAATGTTAGACCCCCCCAAATTTTTTTTTTAGTTATGGCCTTGAATGTGACATGTTTTATAGGATAAATTTGTTGGTTAATAAAAATTACTAAAATCAATTAAATCTCATAAGGTAATTTTTAAAAAATTCTTTTTAATTATCAGTAATAATACTGAAAAAAATATCATCCTCAATAATTAAAATAATAAAAAAAACCTAACTGTGCAATAACATCAATAAATAATGAATCAATCTCAGTATCCCCGTTTGATCATGTTTTATATACTGTTTGGTTTGGTAATTTATTTTTCATTTAAAATTATTTAAAAAATAGAAAAAGTATATAAGTATTTTATTTTACATATAAATTATAATTAAAAATTAAACTCATGATAACTTACCTTCTTTTCACTTTGCAAAAATCAAATGCTACGGTACGATAAGATAAAGCTTTTTCATTAAGGTATTTTGAATAACGTCGTATAAATGGTGACATATCATATCCTAGTACAAATAATTAGAATTAATAATGACTACTAAAATTATTAATTAAAAAAAAATTATGAATAAGAATTCGAACTTTTATTTTATTTATTTATTCATATTGAGTTCAGATTTTTAATACAATATATTGTATATATATATATATATATTATAATTAACTAATTTTGTTAAATTGTTATTCTTACCAGATCGTACTCCAGCAGGTCCTAATGTACCAAGCATAAAAATAAAACAAGTGTATTTTTAATACTAATTTTATTTTAGTTAATTTTTAAATATTTTATAAGATTTCTTAAGTTAAACTACATTCATATTATTTATATGTATTTACCTTGTAAACTACTTTTATCCAAAAAATTGCTAAGTTGAAAGGAACTATTACTTGAAGCCAAATACTGTGTAAATCTCTAAAAATAAAAAATAAATTTGAAATGTATTAGAAAATTAAATTAAATTTTATAACGCTAACCTCATTTCCATAGCACATTAAATGATGAACCGTGATCAATGACTTAAATACTACGACCCAACTGGCATTCTGTGACCGTTCAATCAATAGATTGGCTAATTGAGGAATCGACACATTTGGTTCATTAGTACAATGTATTAAATCTGAAATAAAAATATTAAACCACGCCATTTATATATATATATTTTTTTCAAATAATTTTTAGCTTAAAATAAAATATATTAATAGATTAATAATAAGGTAAAATATAATTTTTTATTCACTTACAATAATTAATGAAATAATAATTGGAAATACATTATGATAATCAAATTTATAAAATACTAGGTATTATACTTATTATACTTAATATTATAATAAACTTTATTAAGTATGAGATCGAAACTTAAGCTTTTTTTTGTTGTAAAAGTTTTTTTGTTCAATTTTTTGCAATAAACAATAAAAAAGAACAATTGATGAAAATAAATGGATAAATATAAATAAATATAATACAGAATAAAATGATAGATTAAACAAAGTGCAGAAGCCTCTCAGTGGAGGTACTTAGAAAAACTATAATTCAACATTTAAAACCTATTTTTAAAATAAAATACCTACTTAGTGCCTAGTAGCAACATATTTATTAGATTTTAATTTTATTCTAAAATTTAAAGTGACCCAAAAAATTTTAGATTGCATAAAGTATAAGAACATAATAGATAATAATAATAATTTAATAATAGTGATGGTGAGCTATTCCCCTTTTCTGATGAATTTATACAGTAAAAAAATCAAATTTCTTAATGAGATAGGTTGAATTTTAAAATAATTATTTTAAATTTATAAACATATATAAAATAATTTTTTTACATGTTTAATACTTTTAAATGTATATATAAATATATAAAATATAAATAAATAGTATAAATGGAGAAATAAATAAATAAATAAATGAGTAGCCTGATTGTACAATCGGTTTAGAATTAAAAATACATAATCAGGTAATTCAGTCAAAAATAAGTAAATAAATAAATAAAAAATAATCAAGACTGAATATGAAAAAATAAATAAAGGAATATTACATTAGATATTTTTTTTTTTTTTTAATAGAGGAAGAAATGACTTAAAATAAGTTCTTATTACACTTAGATATGTTAATAAATATAAATTCTTTGGTTATTATTTATTATTAGCTATTAGAAATGTATTGATATAAGATATTATTTTTAAAATTAGTTTGTTCATTTAATTTATTATTCTATAATATTATATTTTTTATTATCATTCTATTATATGTTTGTTAAATTATTATTAGTCTTAAAATAGATTTTATACATCATTTGTATTATTGTTTACAATTTAAGTGAATTATTTAGATATATATATTTTGATAGTTCATACTACAATAGTTAACAACATTAATTGGTGAATTGTGTTTTTTTTAAATATTTTTGTGGATTTAAATTGTATAAACCTGTAACTGGCACAGTGCGGTGTCATACACCGCTGCATTTTTTTTATCCTACATATCAATTAGAATATTGATAATATTAGTTGGAGGTTACAAATACTTTTGTATGGAGGTAAAATGTATATTATAAGTTTTTCATGTTATGTTCACTGTCATAACTTGTTATTGTTGATATAAAATGTTCAGCAGTATCTCACACCCCACTGTACCATGTGCGTAACATTTTTGATATCCAATATATTTCTATGTTTGAAGAAATTTTTGTTTTTATTTTTAAATTTAGTTCAGTACAGTTACATTATATTATATTATGTTATTTATATTTACTATTATATTTGAAGTTTCATGTATTTATTTTTGTTTTCGAAGGTTTAATATTTTGTTTATTTATCGTAATAAAGAATTTTAATTGGAGTTTGGTCATAGTTATTTTTATCTAAAAAATTATTTTTCTCGTTATTTTTTTTTTAATCTTGTTCTTCAGTATGTATTTTATTATTATATTTAAGTTTTTACCTTAAAAACCGATATTGAAAAAATCAAGAATAAAATAAAAGATTCAGAAATAAATTGTACTACAATTTTTTAAAGTAACAATTCATTCATTGAAACACTAAGAAATAATAATTTGTTTGAAAAAAAAAAAAATGTAGAATGGTTATTAATACTAAACTGATAATTAATATTCAAAAAATTATTTAAGTACTTAATCTAAAGAAGTCCAAATATTGTTATCAAATGAAGCGGTATGTCACATTGCACTGTACCAGTTACGGGTTAAAATAAAATATTTAGATTGAAATTATTTCTTGAATAAGTTCAATATTATCTATAATATATATAGATAATATTGAATTCGTATTGATAATTATGTTTATTTAATAGAATACATTTAAACTTATAAAATATTAATATAAAAAATTATATTTTTTGAAAATAAAGATGATTGCAATCATGTGGTATTATAACATCAGTTTTTGGAAGTTTCCTGTAAACACTAAATTCAAATTTTTTAATTTTTATGAAAACAGTAAGATCCAAGAAATGTAATATTTATTTGTACTTCGAGTGTAAATTAAATGCTTTTATTTATTTTGTTTAAGTAGTTATCTAATTCTTCTGCTTGTCAATTTTAACTTTTGAATAAAATTAAAGTGTCATTGTGTCACATGTCTTTAATATGCTTTCAGTGGCATATTTATGAGGTGGAGGGTTCTCCCAGATAATTTCTAGACCTTAAATATTTGAATTTCGATCAATTTAAAGTTTAATTTTTTAAATTCAAATAAAAGAAAAATTTTAAAATTTATAAATTTTATTAATTTTATAAAAACTAATAATTATTAATTAATGAAATTAGATTTTTCAATAATAAAATAATAAAATAGATAAAAATTTAATTATGATCATTTTATAATGATTTATAAAAAAAATGTATTAACCCCCCTCTCAAAAAATTGTTTGTAAATACACCACTATATACTTTTACATATGGATTGTATATATTGTTGGTTTCATAATTTTGCATGTAAATTTCAGATAGCATAGAATTTAAAGATCCAAAAATAATTATTCATAATGACCAGAACCATAAAACAACGAAAAAAAAAAACCTTTTTTTCGATTTATTTCGTATATAAATTATAACTTAAGTGAACTAAATATATAATCTTCATTAATAACAATGAAAACTGTTCATAATAAATTTATAATTCACATGTATTATAGTATTATAATATATTATAGTGGTTTTTGGTAAAGATTAATTCTCACTATCTATCTATTGACTAAAAACATGCCATGTGTTTTTCATCGTGGGCGGATACTCATTACTCGATGTGTATATATTGATTATACCAAAAATAAAATAAAAGTAAAATATATTTCGATATGTAACAGATAAACACCAATATAATACAATTTGATAAATTGTTAAGGTGAAAAGTCAAATTTGAAACTGTAAAAATGCAGGATAAATCAACTTATTGGGTATCGTAGCTAACTAAAATAATTTAGCCCAAATCGAAGGTTAAATTCATCAGTAGTTTCGTTTATGTTGATTGTTTGCAGATTAATATTTCTATTTAAAATACATTTAAAACCCACAAATTTTCCCGACAAGAAATAGAAATTCAATATCTCTAAGGTCATATATTTACACCATCTCCCCTTAACAATCGATGACCTAGTTAAAATGTACATCAGTAAGTAGAATATTAGTAAAGTAGGAAACAGCCAATAGGCACACGATTGTATTAACCCCTTATTAGACTTATTATGTTGTAATATTGATATATAAATGTAATATTGTTAATATATACATAAATTATAGGTTAAATTCGTTATCAAAATTATAAAAGGAATAGAGACGATAGTCTTTCACAAATTAAATAAATATTACAATTGAATCAAAATAATTTTAATTTATTATTTATAATACTTTTTTAAAAGTCAATATTTCACTTTCAATCACATGTATTTTTAAATTACATAAAAATAAATAAAATGTAAAGAAAACTTATTTACTTCGTTCTAGGAAGAATGCAATTTTCATCAACTTTATTATTATTATCACGTCTTATTTTAAATTATAATTGAACCACAATAATAAAATTGTTTTTTTATTTTTCTCACATTTATTATACTATGTATGCGTAAGACAAATAATGTAATCATTCACAACCTTATCCCTTTTAAAATATCAATTAACTATTGGTTTTAAATCAATTATTAAAATTAAATAGGAAATTGAAACTTTATAATGTATTATTGTGGTAAATATGATATAATTGATGGATTGAAATACTCTTATACGCATCATAATATTGTTACTATAAGCAGAGACGGAACTAGGGATTAGGTTACTGATATTAGGTTAAAACTCAAAAAGTATGATTGTATATTAATTATTAGAAAAAAATTCTCGAGAAGAGTATTTGATTATTGATCTATGATAGGGCGTAATTTCAACATTTTCCCCGGTCGTAAGAATTCGTAGTTCCACCTCTGACAAGTTCATCTGATAACAGACTAATATTCAATTTTATCGAATATTTACAAAAAAAAAAAAAAGTAGAAACTTAATATATAATTAATATTTTATTGTTACGTAAATTGGCGTTTTTAAACTTATTACTGTATATGAAAAATGTTATATAATTATGTCAAACATTTATTTGCTCAGTGACGAATGCAATTTTAAATACAACCCGAGGTAAAACTTATTTTTGTGTATCTATAAAATAGACTAACACACAAAATAGTAAAACTATGAAAAGCTATCTTCAACAAATTAGAGCAAATCACTAATCACGAAAAATTAATCAATAAGCTTAATAATTTAGGGATTAAGGATTGAGACGGCGGGGACAAAATAAATGTATGGTCATAATGAATAAATCAAAAGGGGCTATAGCCACGGGCTGCAAGTTAAAAAGGATCACAATATGTTTTATAATCCTTGGCTAATAAGGTAGCTTTTTATCAATCAATTGTGAATATACTATGACATAAAATATACAAATATACTATAATTATTTTAATTGATATTAATTATAAATTACTAAATTTGAATAAAAAAATAACTGTTTTGAGTGAATAGACCTTACTAAAATGAATAGTTTTTTTTAAAATTATGACTATAATCTGGCCTTATGGTTTCATATATTGTGAAAAACAAACATTGTATTGCAATTATAATATAGATTTTTAGAATAAATTTGAGCCAAATATCTAATCTATATACTTTAAACAGGTTATTAATCGACTTTCTTTATTTTTTCTATAATTACAAATAACTCAAATTAAATAATGTAAAAACAAATTAAATTTTTTGTTTTATGGTTTAATGTAAGACTTTAGCCAAGCACTTTAACCTCGGATTAAAACATTAGATACATAATCATCTTTTATTTAATAGAATTTTTGTATTATAAATTTGCATTTTGGACTAAAAATGTCAGAATCAATTATTTTCTTAGATTATAAACACAACCTATGTCTGTCCATGTGTGATTTTGGTTTAAAAGATGTTTTAAGAATTGTGATCTTGTTAATCATTCTAAAATTGTATAGTACTAAGTACATGGAAAAATGTAAGTTAATCTTGACATTAATTTTTTAACACCTTATCATAATTAATATATTGTTGTTTACAGTCAATTAACATCCAATTAGACACTTAGTATCGATAATATTATCACTAAATTTACTTATTAGCAATTTTTTATATTATAATTATAGTCATTTATTTTTTCCTTTATTTATTTGTTGATATATTTTTGTTAACTTTTTTCATTAACTAATATGTTTTTTTCTGATGACCAAAGTTTTTTTATACAAACATTATTAAAACCAATACAATCTAATACACGTATTCAAAGCAATATAATTATATTATAGACTTGAATACAAAATAAGAATAAATTCATTGATATAAATCAAAAGTGGATCTACCCACCTAACGTTTTTCAATATCTATTTTAAAAAAGAAATAATCTACGTTCAATATAATACTATTTTTTAATTAAAATATTAAATTAAATAAATTATTCTAAAATGGCATTTTAATATTTTAATTTTTTAACCAACTAATTTAAAAACAACTGAAAGGAACTCAATAATCTAAATAAATTGAAAAGATAATAATTAGTATATGAATAGTGTTTTCAACAATTATTATTAAATAATGAATAATTTTTTTAATTGTTAACTTGTAGGTAGAAGGGTTAATAAAAAACATATCAGTGCCAATATGTATATAGAAAATACACCAAGATACATTTGGAAGTTGATTCTATTTTTGAATATTTTGACTGTAAATACTAATTTATAATATAAATATTATTTATGTATACAAAATATTAATTTTTTTTTTTCTAAATTAATCTGATTTATAAATTAAAAATTATATAAAAATAACATACAATAATCAAGATTAACTAAATAGTTAAATTAAAATAGCTACTAATGATATAAATAATTATTTTCAAAATATAAAATAACTGAATAAGTAAATATCTTATAGTTTAAATGTTATATAATTTTCAACTATTATTTTTGAGACTTAATATATACTTAATATATACTTTATTTTAATAATAAAATAAAATATAAATTTAATCTAAATATTGTACATTTTATTGACAATATAAAAATGTATTGCTTATTATACATATTAAATTTGTAAATTATCTACAATTTAATACCAACTTAGACTCTAAATTTCAATACTTCAAATATAATATTAATTAAAATAAAACAAATCTTACGATATTACAATATTCATTTTAAGTAATACTGATAAAACAAATTTTTATTCTAGATATTTCAGGCATAATTAGATATTTTCAATTAGTATATAATAAATTAACATTGTCATACAATTTAAATTCTCAATAACCAAAATAATAATTTATACTGATAATAAATATTAAAAAAGGATAATGATAAACACAATTCAAAATTCATAAACCAAACTATTTCAATCATTTCGGAAAAATTTTCTTACCAATAAAGTATAACAGAAATATATTGAATAAATATATAAAAAAAATATACTTTTATATTAATAATTGCTAGATTTATTAATTTTAACTTTAATCATCTCAGAAAACCAAGATTTAGAATTATTCAAATAAGAGTTATTTTAAACAAGTTACTCTTCATTTTTAAATCCAAAATCTTATTAAAATCTTTTCAAATTCTAAAAAGCTAAATAAAAACTATGAAAGATTCAAAATATATATTTCATATATTATGAATATTTTCTTCATTAAAAATAAAACTATAAACATCTATTAAATACTTAAATTAAAGCAATAACTTAGTATCATAATAAATTCAAATTATTACCCTAAAGCTAAATTTTGTAGATAAACTATAGATTTTATGATGAATAATGTATTGAAATGGCATACAATGTTATATTAGATTAATATTGATTTAATCCTTTTAGTTATTACTTTATATTTATAAAACTATAATAACTAGATATCATTTTAAAAAAAGCACAGAAATAAAATGTAGATTTCTTAAAATAATCAAACTTACAATCAAGCATTAACTACTAACAGAATAAAATATTATGAACAATTTGCACAAGTAATTTTTATTCACCTACACTGAATCCATAGCAATTATTGCAGTTAAAAAAATAGACAAGTAAAAATTATGATTCATTATTCAAATAAGATATTTAATATGTAATGAAGTAAAACAAATTTAACATTGATGTTTATTAATCAAGAAGTATTTTATTTTACAAAAAGTTAAATAGAATTCATATTTAATTCCACTATCTAAAGCATATTAAAAGTAATATTTTACAACTCAATTCAATATTATTTAATTACATTATGACGACTAATCATAATTTTGTCTTTGAATATATAGTTGAAGTATCAGTCTGAATTATAATACTTACAGTCCAAATGTTTCTTTTTCGGTCCAATTAATTCTTCGGTAGTCGCCTTGCATACAGACTTCGCCAAACCTTGTCCAGCTAGACTATGTCTAGCAGCTAGTAGTCTATCTTGTATTGTTTGACCAGCCATTGTTAAATTTTTTCAAGTCGTTAGCTATATGATGCACTTAATAATGTAAATATTATAAAACACGAATTCAGTATAGAACTTCCCTCGACAAACAAGTTTATAAGTATCAAAGCAATAACAGTAATTACAAACAGTTTTTCACCATTACACGGTATTAAAGCCACGGGACTAGACTCGCGAACGTCAACTAAACTGTGATAATAATAATAGTAAAAAAAAAAACAAGATCTAGTTATCACGGTTCAATAGGCCTCACATATTTTGCCGGTAGATCGCTGTCATGTCAGAATAGTTAATAAATAAATTGGTACCAAGGATGATTGTTTCAAAAAAAAAAATTGATTTTCCTTAACAAGCGAAGATGGAGGAACTTAAGAATTTTACTGTGTACCTGGAAATTCCCAATTGTTTAGTTGTTTCATTTTCGCAGGCGCAAAATTTTGAATCGTTTGCGCTTGCGCAAAGGTCAGGGTCATGTTTTCCCCACCCAAATTTGTGACGAAACGAAACTTATCTCTATCTAGGATAATAATATTACCTATCAAAGCATAATATTATCCTCAATTGATAAGAAAATTATTTTCAATTTTTTATAAAAGCAGAACGTTTACATTACCCAATAATAATGTATGAAGGTTACATTAGCAATAATCGACTAGTTGTGATAAGAACATTTCAGTGGTTCTCAAAGATTATTGCGAAGTTAATACTTTTTATTGTTAACTAATTATCGTATCCTATAAAATCAATGTGACTACCACATTAATGTATACTTTTCTTGCTACGTTTATTAAGATGATACTCCAGTTCTCCCGGATTGACAAGAAATATAAAATTTTTTTAATTTCAAAAATCAATTATGATCAGTCACACATCAAATTAAATAATAAAACCCTAGTTGCCTCCAAGTATGAATTAAAAACCCATAAACTATTCCTACAACTAAATTAGATTATTAATTTTAGTCGTCTAACTTTGCCAGTTTGCCATTATTGGAATACTTGTCTATTACTATAGCATCCGTTATATTTACATAGGTATCTATGAATGGATAATAGATCAAGTCTATAAGCTATAACTCAAGTGTAGAATTTTGAAGATAGTTTTTCAAACATCTTATTTTCTATCAGCATTGGTAGTTGAAACTGGAAGTATAATCAATGAAATCAACTCAAATTTAAATACTATATACTATACATCAATAAAAGATTATAGTCAAAAAAATAAATTAGTTTCAGCAATAACTATGAAACATTGTAATATCAATGTTAGTTACATATTATCTTCACCAGCTAGTTTGTAATAATGTGACAGTGTAATAAAAAATCTAATACTTCTATATTTAAAATACCTAATTCTAATTAGAGAACCATTGTCTTTTATGCAGTATTTAAATTAATTTCATACATAAAAATAACTAGGGCACGAATTTTTATGTAATAAAAAAAATCAAAGTATGTAAATATTTATGTTCTTACTTTTTCCAAAATATTTATTAAAAAACTTGAAATAGTTAAGAAAAAAAATTAGTATCCAACGTTCATTTTTAATCGCTCATTAATAATTATTTATCTTGTTGTCTTCTTCAAAACAATTGGATAAAACGTAGGTACACTTGGAGATTTTCGAATTTGGTTGTACGATGGTTAGGTTTCAAATTCCACTGGTAGTGGTTGAAGGTGCATTTAACATCAACCTAGGTTAATGGGGCATATTCATATCGGATGGTGTTACTTCAATATTATCTAAAGTGTTGTCATTTTTATTCATAATTATATCTCTAATATACTTCAATTGTTTGTAAACCAACGTTATTACCGAGTACGTAGTTTAATTTATTTTTTATTATACGTTTTGAACGTGTTTCGGAAGAACGCGAGCTATTAAAATAATTTCAAAGGAATGGAAGGTGATGTATTAAAATGTGTGAAAATCTCAAAGGGAACACTATGCCCGATTTCGAGGTATAAATTTTGAAAGTTAGCATCGCACGAACGCATATTATAGCGTGACTATTCGTCACGATCATTTCTCGATTATATTAAAATTTGAAATAAATAATTTTGTATGCGATGTAATAGCTAATGCATTTTTACTCATTATATATTATAAATTTTAATATAATAATTATAATAATTTAACCTAAAATATAGATAACGGAACTTTTTTCATTATATGGATGTCCAAATAGCGAAACAATAAACTTTACTTTTTTAAGGAAATTCCTTGTTCGCTACCTATTTAATTTGTTTAACTTTTTTTAAAAATATAATTAAATTATATTCCTTATAATTTAATACATTAGTTTTTGAATTTAAATGGTGAGGCCACCACCATCCACTAACCTACCGGTTGGTAATAGAACTTCGTCGGCGGTATCGGTATCTGTGAAAAACATTTAACTAAATTTAAAAAAAAAATTTAACTAAAGAATTGGAAAAATACTAAATAAAAATTATTTATTTCAGCTGGACGGTATCAGATTCAAATATTAATTAAAAAAAATTGTTAAAATCTAAAATAAACAATTATTTCAACTATATTGGAATTATTTTAAGGTTAATATATTGCAATAGTTCGAGACAATTAATCGAATTATTAAGTATTTTGTGTAAAAATTTTAATTTTAGCTCCATAAATCGTTTATCTAATGTTACCATATTATAGAAATTTATTATGATGTTGGTATAATGAGGATCTCTGTAGATATGACATTGAAAACATAAAAATCATATGAAGTTATTTTAAATTTGGTTCAGATCTTTTTGTGTTACAGAATTTGATGACAAATAAGTAGAGCATAATAAAAATAGGAGCAAACTAAAGAATTATATAAAGTTATTAATACAGATTTATCTCTAAATTGTCAACATGAACGTTTTAAAATCTAATTTTGCAAAAGCTTTATTTTTTAAATAATTTATATGACCTTTAAATGAAAGTTTTATTTTATTCCTAGATCAAGCTTACATTTTCTAAAGATAAATAAATAAAAAACAAAAATAAATAGGTGGAAATAAAATATGATTTAAGTAAGACCCGGTTCGGATTTATACTTTCAGATGACCGGGGCAATCATTTTTAGAAACCCCTAGCAATAAAAAATATATAATGCCCAATATCTAAGTAAATAAAGAAAAGAAAAAAAAAATTGCAAACTTGCAGCAATTGAACGTTATAACTATCTACTTACCTAAAACGTGTTTACTTCAGGTTTGAAAAACTGCTATTCATATCATACATAAGAAATTTCAAAATTTGTTTAAAAAAAGCAACAATATAATAATTTTATAAGACCTTCATAATTTGTATAAGTATTAGGAATTTTAGGATATTTTTTTTTTAACACCATCCCATATTTTATAAAACATCAAGTTTCGATTTTCAAACGACTACATCTATTTTCTATAACGAAAATCTATAAACATATTGAAAAAATAATTTTAGCGTTTACGATATTTATTTTGAGTAATTTGTTTATGGACTTATTAACGTTAAAAATTACAAAAAAATTACATCCACAGTAATTATGATAAAGGATGAAAAATAGTGGTAATTAAAAATTTAATAAACCTAATATGACATTAATGAAGAATGCATACAGAAATTAAATTAATTTATAATAATAGGAAATTTAAATTTAAGATAAAAGATTTATACAAGCGATCATTATATTAATTGTCTCATTAGTACTATTATGAATGATAATAAATATTTTATTATTTAACACCTATTTGTTTACATATATATATATATATATATAAATATATAAAATATTATGTAAAATGTAATATTCAATAATTATTTAATTAATCTCAAATAATATAAAACAAGGCCGTAACTGGAAAAATATTTCGGAGGGGGGGTCTAACATTATTATATAATACAATTTATAGTTAATAAATTATATTCTCCACTAAAATGTTTCTACTTTTGAAAATTTGGAGGGGGGGTCCAGACCCTTGGAACCCCCCAGTTACGGCCTTGATATAAAATATATACAGGGTACGGCCCAGCCGACTAACGATTTTTGAAGGACTATAAGTAAAAAACAGTTTAACTTAGATGAAAATGGTTTGTATTATTTAAATCAGTAAGAAATCCCATTTTTAAAATTATGTTTTGTAAATAATATCTTTAAGATGACGGCCGTATGCATCAATACACTGTTCTAGACGTTCTCTGAAGTTCGCTTATGATTTTCGGCACATTTCGATGGGTATGGCCTCGATTTCCTATGTAATTTTTTCTTTTAGGTCTTCTATGGTATTGGGGCGATGTCTGAAGACCTTATCCTTAAAGTATCCCCAGAGGAAAAAGTTATACATGCTTAAATCGGGGGAGTGTGCTGGTCAGCCTATGTCACTTTTCAGAGAGACTAACCGCCCAGGAAACATTCGTCGCAAAACAGCAACTAAAATTCTAGCGGTGTGCGCTGTCGCCCCGTCTTGTTAAAACTATACATCTCTCAAATCATATTCATCAACCATTTCCTCCAACCTATGACGGAGATAAGTTTCTAACATCACAACATAACGAGTGGAAGTGACAGTGGCTGTCCTGTTATCCTCTTCAAAAAAGTATGGACCGATCACTCTAAATTGGGACACAGTGCACCACACTGTCACTTTAGGAGAGTGTAGTGGTCTTTTACGGAGACATAGTGGGTTATTTTGAGTCCAATATCGAAAATTTTGCTTATTAACAGTTCCAGAAAGATGAAAATGGGCCTCGTCACTACAGAAAAAAGTTGCTGTCAGAGGGATTCGCAAAAGAATTTGCTGACAAAGATTTTTTCGGTTGCCATAGTCAGTAGCATTTAACTCTTGGACAAGCATTAATTTATAGGGATGGAATGATAAATCTTCGTGAAGAATTCTTCTCAAAGAACGGTCCGAAATTCCCCGAGAAACTGCCTCTTTAACCAACTGCACATTTTCGGGGGTTCTTACCGTTCTGGGTGGTCCGTTTCCATGTCCATTTAGGGTACTTCCAGTTTCTTCCAATTACCGTATCCAAAACTTAATGTTGTTAGCAGAAAGAACAGATTCGGCATGTGGAATGCCGAAGTGTAGACGAAAAGCTCTTTGTATAGCGATTACAGAATGATTTTTGTAATACGCGCACACGACGAAACCTCGATATACACCCGTCCAAACCATGATTATGACCATTGATTATAAATATTAGTATTTACTAGTACTAGTACTTAGTAATTATAATCAATGGTATACATAAAAGATTATTTTTGACATATGTTAAACTTTGTTGACTGTTGATAATGTTCTACAAACTGTAATGACTGTTTTTCAAAATACGTACTTATTAATAAATGTTGATATTGATCGATTTAAAAATTAATATTAGTATATTAGTATATTAGTATTTATAATCAATGTTATGACTAAAAACGACATAACCGTGTAATTCAAAATAGACCACTGATAAAGGTCTGCACTAATCTTATCTCACGCTAATGCTCTATTAAACTCGTCAGTCGGCT